TTTTTCCTGCTCTCTCAGCTCTTATCTCAGTTCTTTTGTACCTTCAGGGCAGAGGCACATCCATGGTCCCTCTCATGGCTCCCTGGCTGGGTTTGGAGCAGGGGGAGCTTCTCAGCTCCTTATGGACCCACCCTGTGGGCCCTTCCCCAGTACCACAAATCCCACCAACCCAAACCAGCACAGTCAGGGAGGAGAAGAGCAGAAGTGAGGAACAAGCCCAGCCAGCCCCGTGGTCCCACCCACCAAAGGAGAAAGGCCAGAAAGCTGCAGGTCAGCTCGGAACGTTCACAGGGTGTCAGGTGGGAATTTCACACGTGTTCTTCCCTCTCCTCTCTTTCCCTGCAGCTCTTCTCGGACGCCTGTCCCAAGACCTGTGAGAACTTCCGTGCCCTGTGCTCTGGAGGAGCAAAGTCCCTCTGTGATGGGAGGGAACTCACCTACAAGAACTCACTGTTCCATCGCGTGGTGAAGCACGGGTGGATCCAGGGAGGAGGTTTGTTCCCAGGGGAATGGGGTAAATCCCAGGCACGGCAGAACTGGGCCAGGCTCTCACCACCCTCACACTCCACAATTCCCTCCTCATGTCTCACCTCAATCTCCCCTCCTCCAGTTTTCATCCATCCCCCCTTGTCCTCTCCCTCCCTGCCCTTGTCCCAAGTCCCTCCCCAGCTTTCCTGGAGCCCCTTCAGGCACTGGAAGCTGCTCTAAGGTCTCCCTGGAGCCTTCTCTTCTCCAGGCTGAACACCCCAACTCTCCCAGCCTGGCTCCAGAGCAGAGCTGCTCCAGCCCAAGGATCATCTCTGTGGCCTCCTCTGGCCCCTCTCCAGCAGCTCCATGTCTCTCCTGTGCTGAAGGCTCCAGAGCTGGACACTCCAGGGCTGCACCACATGAAATAATTATCCCTGTAGCCTCTTGGGATGGCAGCAGAGCTTCCCAAAGCTCTGTTAAAATTGCAGTAGTAAACCAAAGATGGACACAGAGGTTCCCCCACCAACAACCCCAAATAATCCCTGTGCTAAAACTGGGCTCTGATGGTTACTTTTCTCTACCTTGCAGACATCATAACTGGGAAGGGAGACACAGGAGAGTCCATTTATGGTCCCACCTTTGAAGGTATGTTTCTTCAGCTCCATTGCTGCTCAAATGGCACATCTCCTCAAGCTGTTGATCTGATCTTATTTGCAGAATAACCTGGGAATTCCCTTTCACCTCCCTACAGCACAAGGGTTTGCTTCTCAGTCAGAATTGTTATCTGATTGGATTGCACAAACCAACTGCTTTAGTGAGGACACTTTTTGATCTTCTCCCCCTTCTCTGGTGTTCCCTGCCTAAGGCTCAGCTCCATCAGCCCCTTCTCCCTGCCTAAATGAAGGCTGATGCTCACCTGCTGCCTGCTTGAAATGGCAAATACTCACCTTTGTGGAGAGGACCTTAGAAATGTACAAGTGCATTAGCTACAGATCTCCCAGCACCCAATACCACTTGTTTTGGGGCCTACAGGAAAGCTGGGGAGGGGCTTGGGTCAAGGGCAGGGAGGGAGAGGACAAGGGGGGATGGATGAAAACTGGAGGAGGGGAGATTGAGGTGAGACATGAGGAGGGAATTGTGGAGTGTGAGGGTGGTGAGAGCCTGGCCCAGGTTGCCCAGGGAAGCTGTGGCTGCCCCATCCCTGGCAGTGTTGAAGGGCAGGTTGGATGGGGCTTGGAGCAGCCTGGGCTGGTG